GGAGCCTGATGCAGGGCTTGATCCAGGGACTCTGGACTCAGGAATCATGACCTGAGCCAAAGGCAGGTGCTTAACTGACTGAGCCACCCAGGTGCTCCTATTCCTCATGTATTTTGAAGCACATATTTTCTGAAATTGTTTCAGGGGCTCATTTATGTTCTTTACGTTTAATTATTAATTGGGTGTTTGTATTTTCTATTTAACAATTTTTATTAAAAAAATTTTTTTTTTTTTTAAGATTTTATTTATTTGTCAGAGAGTGAGAGAGAGAGAGAGAGCACAGGCAGGGGGAGTAGGCGGGCAGAGGGAGAAGCAGGCTTCCCGCTGAGCAAGGAGCCTGATGTGGGACTTGATCCCAGCACCCTGGGATCATGACCTGAGCTGAAAGGCAGGCGCTTAACTGACAGAGCCACTCAGGCATCCCTATTAAAAAATTTTCAAAATAAAAACCTTTGCAATGCAGAGAGGTATATTAATTTACTAATATGATTATGGATTTAATTTTTTTTAAAGGATTTTATTTATTTGACTGAGAGATACACAGCGAGAGAGGGAACACAAGCAGGGGGAGTGGGAGAGGGAGAGAAGCAGGCTTCCCACTGAGCAGGAAGCCCGATGCCTGGGATCATGACCTAAGCCTAAGGCAGACACTTAACGACTGAGCCACCCAGGCACCCCTGATTATGGATTTAAAAATTTTTCTTCCAGCTGTCAGTTTTTGGTTCATAATCTTTATTGTTTTCAATGCAAAGAACTGGAAATTACTTGACTTATAAAAAGATTTGTTATCTAGTCTTTACGTAAGAGTAATTAGTTTATAGAAGATTTGTTGTTTTTAAAATAATATTTATTTATTTATTTGAGAGAGAGTGCATGCGTGTTGGGGGAGAGGCTGAGGGAGAGAATCTCAAGCAGATTCCCTGCTGATTGCTGGGTTCAGTCTCAGTACCCATGAGATCATGACCTGAGCCGAAATCACGAGTTAGATGCTTAACTGACTGAGTCACCCAGGTGCCCCCAGATTTGTTATTTTTATAAAAAGTTTTGTTATCTAGTCTTTACTTAAAGTAATAAGCTTTTTTAAGCAGCAGTATTTTATTTATTTATTTTGCTCTTCTAGAGACTTTCATACCCTAGACACTGTATCAAGGTAAATTTCAGGGTGGGTAAAAGATAATCTTTCTCCCGCCTACTATCCCTTTTTAAACTTCTTTAGAGAATGAAAAGAAATTTTGAAAGAAGAGGTTGGAATTTAGAAATGGAATGATGTCTGATGAACAGATCAGTTTTAGGAAGACAAATATTGAAGGTTGAGAATTTGGGAATTAATTCCCTTTAAACTCTGTCTACATATGCTTTGAAAGGTCTACATGTGGTGGGGCCCCTGGGTGGCTCAGTTGTTAGGCGTCTGCCTTTGGCTCAGGTCTTGATCCTGGGGTCCTGGGCTTGAGCCCCGCATCAGGCTCCCTGCTCCGCGGGAAGCCTGCTTCTCCCTCTCCCGCTCCCCCTGCTTGTGTTCCCCTCTCTCACTGTCTCTCTATCAAATAAATAAATAAAATCTTAAAAAAAAAAAGGAAGGCCTACCTACATGTATCCTCAGCTGTTGATAGCTGATGTAGCCAATCATAATACCAGAAGTGCATATCCTTTAGAATTTTTTTGACAGTTTTAAGGAAACTATGTATTGATATAGAGAAAAATTATCAGATAAAAGTAACATTTGTGTAAGATATGCAATATGACTCATTTGTGAAATTTTGCCTTCTTATTTTATAGATTAAAAATCTGAAGCCAAGTAGGGGAGACATTCATAAGATTTTACAGGGTTTTTGGGTTATAATCCTAGAACTTTTGACTTCCTGACATACCTGGGAAGTTTTATCTTGTCTTTTGTTTTTTCTTGTTCCCCTGCTCCTCTTTGCTTTTTCCTTCCTTTGAAAAACAAAAGCTAAGTAAAATATTCTCCTAATTTACAAAGTCAAATGATCTTACAAGGTTTATAGCAAAAAATCAGCAGTCCTCAGTTACATTACTCCTTCTCCTTAATATTAACTCCTCGGAGCAAACTTTTGTTTTTACTTACTTCTTATTCCTAAATAACATGCCTGCATTCCTAAATAACATGCCTACTTGGAAAGTCTTCCCTCAAGGAAGGAATGGAAACATTTTTTCCCTCAAAATTCCAGTTGCCCTCCTGTTGAGAATCTACTTAAAGTGAACTCTTCTTGGGAAGATGAACTCATAGTAACTAAGCTCATAAGGGCCATATTATTCATTTATAGTAAAATATATAAAGGTTAGTTAGACTAATCTTCTCATAGGTCTGAGCAGTATATTTTTACCCAGCTGGAAAGTTATCTAGAAGCCAGTATCAGAAGGATATGGAATTGGGACATGAAGCGTTAATGATACAATTCACATCTTTAATTGTATTGGGCTGTAATCAAGCAGTTGCTTCTGTTTTCATAGTAGAGATAATCTTACCTGATTTTTAGAATAAAAAAGTTAATTACAGAAAAGATTAAAAAATACAGAAAAGCAATGTTTAATAAAAAATTGAAGCATATTCCTTTTCAGATGGCATACATGGTCACTTTTGAGACAATTGACTGTAAACCAGATGGGACAAATGTGATAAAACTTGCTATATTGCAGAGCACTAAGGGTGGAGAATAAGAGTCTAAATATATTTCTTCTTTCTTCTTTTTTTCCTAAATGTTTCTTTTCACTTTTATTCCAGTTTCCTCCTCTGAAAATGAGATAATTTGGCTAAATGATCATATCATTTATGGAAGCTTTGGCAATTGTAAGAAATGATTAGAGAATTAACTTATTATACTTTACTTTTAGTAGTGGGTTAAATGACTTATTTAAAGGATTACTTTGCTGTTCAATTTCTGAGACAATTCTAACAAAACATTATATGGCTATTTTATTTTGATAAAATTGGCTATATTCTTCCCATTTTAAAGCATTTTCTTTTTTAATTGTCTGTTTCTTTTATGTACACATATTAAATTATAGTTTCAGAAATTTGCCACTTATCTTGTTTCTTGAAATTATTCCTTTAAAGAAGATTAAATTGCAGAAGAGATGCCATTTGCTAAATTGAATTCCAAGTGTACTTAGTTGGTCCTAGTTTTCCTTTGACCTTGAGGCTTGGGGGGCTTTTCCCCCCCTTCTTTCTACAAGTCAGTTGCATTCTTATTTACATGTCATAGTTGATAGGCTAAAATGAAGTATTCAAAATTAGCATTTTAAAGATAGTTTGTGCGCATCCTTTGCAAATGAATTAACAATGTTAGCTGTGTATGTTCCTTTTTGTATAAAGATGTGGTCTCTGCTCTCAACCAGATAATCTGTAGACAGTTATAGATAATCAGTGTAAAGAAATCTCAAAAAATATGCAGAGGATATTTTTCATCATTGTTGGGACACAGAGCTCCTGTCAGTTTGTTCTGTGTGATAGTTTAACTTTTCAGGTAATATGTCTAAGGTCCAATAAATACTAGTTTGTTTTGCGAGATGCCAGCGTTATCACTTTTAAATCTTCATGATACTGTGTTTTTTAAGTTTATTCAGTTGTGAAACATTAATTCAGTTATGTTAATTGGAATATCCTAATGTGATTGTCACTTCATATTTGTTCTCCCTTGTCCTTATTGTCTTGACTTAAATATTTCATTGACCTATTTTGCCTCTTACCTTTAAATATAAAGGTTCCTTCTCCTCAGAGGGGATAGACTCTGGTAGTGGGATGGCCATGCCTTTGTGGTATGTGTAATATCTTAGTGATTTTCCAAATGTTGACTGGCTTATTCTTATCATCTGGGGACTTGTTAAACAAAGATTCCTGTTCCTGTGTTTATTTCAACAAATGCCCCAGATAATTCTATTGCATAGCAAGGTAAATGAAAATTTATTAATCTTTGTTATTTATTTATTTTTGTTTGATTTGGAAGTGATTTACTGGGCATTATTATTCTTCTTTTCAAATATATAAGAAATCAGAGTTACCTTTGCTTATAAGCCATCTCATTCCATTTTTAGCTTTTGATACTCTTTTACATATATTCATTCATCAGGTTCATCTGGAATTCCTTGGTTCTTTGTGTGAATTTTAACAGTAAAAGATAAATATTTGCAATTTAAATTTTATATCCAGAAATTGTCAAGCTTATAATTATCTTTTATCTGTTACATTTTTGTTTCACTTAACAATTTGGGTTATTTACTTCTCCCTCCACTCCTTTATATTAAAAGATTTGTTTTTAAATGTTTGATTTTGACTGAAGTTTTCTATGGAAATATATTAATTCTCACATCTGTGTAAGTAGGTAATAACCACAAATAGTAAGTTTAATTTCTGAAAGGTATGGATTCCTTCCCATTTATTATGCTTCTTATTTTCTTGGAAATGAAATTCTTATGGAGAAAGTGATCTTAGTATCTAGGAACTATGTTGATTCCACTGTGATTTTTGTCTTGATGTTCAGTTGGCTTGGTTGGAAGAAAAAGCTAGGACAGATAACAGAATTGCTATTTCCACGTAAATAGTTTTTTCAGCATGGTAGATGAGGAATGTAATTTAAAACACCTGTTTCTTACAATTAATTTTAGTTTTGGGGAAAATGGCTTTTTTTTTTTTTTTTTAAGATTTTATTTATTTCAGAGAGAGGAGAGAGAGAGGAAGAGCACATGTAGGGGAGAGGGGCAGAAGGAGAAGCAGACTCCCTGCTGAACAGATAGCCTGATTCCCGGATCCATCCCAGGACCGCTGATCATGACCAGGCTTAACCACCTGAGCCACCCAGGCACTCTGAAAATGGCTTGCTTTTAAAAATGCCAGTTAGTAAACGGGAAAACTGATTAAATAGAAGTAATAGGCTAACTTAAATGGATTCATGAATTTGCTTCATACTGGTTATACTGTGGTGTTAAAGAAAACTTTGAACTCGTAGTTATATTTTTAAAAGAACAATTATAATTTTCTATTATAGGAATCACATGCAGCCCAACTACAGATCCTTATGGAATTCCTCAAGGTTGCAAGAAGAAATAAGAGAGAGGTATATTATTTTGTATCTTTTACATAATGTTTCATTTACTGTTGCTGACTATTCCCATTTCCCCCCATTTTTGTAAAGGCATTTCGTGCTAAAAAGTTTATTTAAACATTTAAAAAGCATTTGAGTTGTAGGCAGTTTTCTAACTCTTTGTTATTTTAACTTCTTTTACCTTAGAACTTGATATTTTAAAAATCCCTTTTTGGAGATGTGCTGAAAAGTTTTTTGTAGGATTGAATACAATGACTTACCTCAAAGTGATAAAAAAATAGAAAATAGAATTATCATATGACAGCCTACCCTTCACCCTGAAAAGAGAATTTAGGAAACTTCAGATAATAAAGTCTTAAGTAGAGAGTGTTGCAAATTTTTCTTATGGCAAAAATGCATACTGGGGGAAACTACAAGTAAAAATATTGCTATCTATTTAGAACCTGGAAAGTATAAGACATGAAGGATAGCGAAAAGATAATTTATTTTATTAATAATCTTATAATCAGAATGTTTTAATTTAATGTTCATAAAATTCCTTAGTCATTTCACACTTGTACAAAATATGGGAAAATAAAAGGCAAAATCCTGTGCTATGGGGGGAATGCTAATATAACTTTGAAAGCAGTTTATATATTTAAATTCCTAACTGTCACAAATATTATATTTTTATTTTAAGTTGTCTAATTAGGTTGTTTTTTTAGTCATTTAAAAAATATATATAATGTCTATAATGTGCTAAGTTCTAGGCTGTCTATTACATCTGAAAATAAAAACATGAGAGATGTTTTTATTTTGATGAAGTACTGTTAGTGTGCATTGTCAGAACCTTTACATTATCTTAGTTTGATATTTCCCCTTTTTTTGATTATTCATGATGTCTATTTTTTTAGTCTATTTTCTTAGTTCAAGTTGGATTTTTCTGTATTATACTGTTAATAGCTAAATATTCTTTATATGGTTTATGACTTTTTCTCTTATCCTTAAGTTTTGCTGAGCTAATAATTGTGATTTTAATATGTCTATTAACAAAAAACACTATCTTCACTATACTTTTAAAATTTATTCCTCTCTATTGCTTCTTGGCCTTTTGGCTAAGATCATGTGTAAAATTTATTCCTCTCCATTTTTTTTTTCTTTGTTGGTGGGTACTTTTTAAACTTTGGTATACATAAGAATCACCTGAAGATCTTGTTAGAATCCAAGTTCTGATTACGGGTGTATGTTTCAGAGCCCCATAATCTGCATTTCTAGCAAGTTTCAGGTGATGATACTTTTGGTCCTTGGAGAGTACACTTTGAGTAGCAAAGCTGAAAATGTTATATCTGGAAATAAAATTATTAATATGTACACTCAACATCTTTTTGTTATAGAAAATTCTTTGGAAAAGTGATGGTTTTTCATATTCCATATATACCTCCCAACTTTAAAACAGAATGTGAAATTGTTTTGCAGTAGTTCCATATGCGTCTTTCTGCCTTAGACTTTGAAACTTCATTGAAAGTGGGATTAAGGACATGAGAAATTACCTGATAATGAATGAATAAATGACTCAATTAAGTGTACAGTCCAAACATGAGGATGTCTGGGGGTTAAATTAAATGGCTCATCATTATCTGTGTCCTGCATTATTTAATGTTTTCGTTAGCCCCTGAGGTTTTTCATTGCTTTTCTAGGGATCTATTAATGCTTGCAAAAAAATTGTTAGATTCAAAAACTCTCCGGTAATAAGGATACAGCATGTAACTCTAAAAAAGAAACTGAAGATTCTGAGATTAATTCCTTCCAGCAAGCTGACAAGTTAGCCTGTCACAGTTTCATTTGTGCTGTCAGTTCCATGGGACTTCTGGGCTGGAGATAGAGGACTTTATTATGGCACATTTGGCACAGCTGCTGCACATTTGCCTGTTTCTCTGGCCCTCAAGCCCCACAGGGGCGACGTAGAGATGGGCTCAGGTGAATGGTGCACATAAAGTGGATGTATGTAACAACTAAGGAGCCCTGAGCTTAGGAAATTCCAGTCTTTTAAAGGGGTCTACTGGAAAACCTGTCTAGTCTTTGCCCTTCAGGGAGATACTTTTTTTATCATATTGATCAGAAAACAAATCTGCCCTCTGTCCTGGAAAAAGTCACTATTTCTGTCTTGCCAGGGTATTTGCTGTAGAAACATCCTTGAAAAGATAATTTGGAACAAAAGCTATGACAGCATGTTCTGAAATGAGAGAGATCAATAGAGGGTTGTTTCCTAGTAAGTGACTCTTCCTTGTGATAGGAATTTGTCGTCTCTCTGATGTGGTGGCTGATGGCCTTGACTAATACCTTCTAAGATACTATGTTTGATCACATAGCTCTTAGTATCAGTGTTTCTATATTTTTGTCATTAAATGTCTGGGTTAATTGTGCTGTAGAATTTTACAGCTTAACTTTAGTTTGATCCTTGTGATTGGATGATTTCTTTTCCCCCCATGAACCATATTTTCTAATGGTAGGCAATTTAACCGAGAAATGTACTAGTTCTAAGTACTTCAGGATATTGGTGCCTTTTTTGTGCACTGATTATATTGTCATTAATACATTTTGGATTTCTTTTTTTAATGTACCCAAGATTGAGTGATTTTGAGTATTTCAGGTTTAATTATACAAGAGACTCCGAGGAGCTAGGTTAACAAAGTTCACAAATTTGAAAATTTAGTGCTAGGTTAACAGACTTTAAAAATTTACAATTTTTACAAAAAACTAAAAAATTACGTTGAATTTCATAAATTTCCTCATAATTGGAATCAGGTACAGTAATGCTATGTAATCATAATAAACTTTAGTCTAGGGGTGCTTGGGTGGCTCAGTCATTTAAGTGTCTGACTCTGGATTTCATCTCAGGTCATTATCTCACGGTTGTGAGAACAAGGTGGGACAGGCTTTTTCCTGGGTGTGGAGCCTGCTTGAGATTCTCTTTCCCTCTCCCTCTGCTCCTCACCCCCTTCCTCCCACTTGTGTGCACGTTTTCTCTCTCTCTCAAATAAATAATAAAAAAAAACCCTTTATTTTAGGAAATTAGTTGATTAATACTTCAATTTAGGACAGACAGAATGAAGTGAGTGATTATATGTTTTGCATATATTATAAAGTATTTGCATGCTTAATCCTCAAAATGAATGTAGTTGTTAGAGGTCTTATCTCCTGTTGTATAATTTATACTTGAACTTATTCAAGCAAAATATAGACTGAGCAGGAGGCAAACTACTACTTTTGAATTTATTTTCCTAAGATTAGCATTCAGACATTGGAAATTAACTTTGTGATCTTAGACTTAATTTTTATTGAGGTTATGATGAGTGTTGGTTTAGATATTGATATATACCAATCTAAGAAGTTAAATCTGCTTTTCAGATTTAACATACTTATTTTCTTCAATATCACATCTTGCTAGTCCTTTTTGGGCTATTAGAACCCTACATTCAGGGGCGCCTGGGTGGCTCAGTAGGTTAAGCATCTGCCTTCGGCTCGGGTCATGATCCCAGGGTGCTGGGATTGAGCCCCGGGCTCAATTGGGGAAGCCTGCTTCTCCCTCTCCCTCTGCCTACGTCTCTGCCTGCTTGTGCTCTCTCTCTCTCTGTCAAATAAATAAAATCTTTAAAAAAACTCAAAAAACCCTACATTTAATTTTTGAGTTATTTTCCCCTACTGACTCTTTTTCAAATATTAAGAGAAGGACACATAATAGTAGGCATTTGCATTAGTTATCTGTTATTGTGTGACACGTTATGCTCAAATTTGATGACTTAAAAAAGAAACATTTAATATCTTGGGTCAGGAATTATGGTGCGATGTAATTGAGTGCCTTGGCTCAGAGTTTCTACCAGGCTACATTCAAGGTGTTGCCCAGGGCAGCAGTTACCTCAAGGTTTGACCAGGATAGAACCCGTCCAAGCTCACCCACTGGCTACTAGATAGAGATACCAATTTCTTGCCACATGGGCTTCTCCATAGGTAGCTTTCTACATGGCTGCTGGCTTCTCTCAAAGGGAGCAAGTGAGAAAGAGCATTTTGAAGATAGCACTTTTATAATTTTTATAACTTAACCTTGGAGGTTACATCCGCACATGTGCTGTTTTCTGGTCATTAGAAGCAAATCATTAAGTCCAGCCCACACCAAGAGAGGGAATTACATGAGTGTGTGAATACTAAGTGGGAATCTTTGGAGGCTATCTTAGATTCTGCCTACCACAGCATTTAGTAAGTATATGTATTTAAATGAAAATGTTATTCTTTCTTCATGGTCTGATTGACCAAAGGAGCTTTGGGTTTCATGTAAAAGCCAAATTTGTACTAGCATTTAAACAATTGTCTTACATTTAATTTGATTTAATTTTAAAATACACTTCTGGACATTTGTGGTACTTATTTACTGTAATAGGGTAGTTTTGTTAAGTCTTGGTTTCCTTTTGGTTCTGTTTGGAATTCCAGTGAGCTAATTTTACGGTGTTTTTATATGAAATAAAACATAGAAAAGTCCATAAAACAAATTTACAGTTTAAAGATTTATGGTAGAGTGACCATCCATGTAACTGCCATCCTGATTTAACAGTCAGATTATTGTTGGGACTCCCAGTGTTCCTGCCTAACCTTTCCAGATTATAGCTTTCTCCCTTGTGCCTTAGGTGGTCAGTATTCTGATATTTATCACCTTCCTGTTTTCCTTTATTATTTTGATACCTAAGTATTTATAAATTGCTTTTTTAAACTTCAATATATTTATTTCTGCAGCTTATAATGTTTGTTTTGTTCTTACCTTCTCTGACTCAATGTTAAGGTTCATCCATATTGTTATATATGGCTATCGTTGATTAGTTTTGTAAGTATTTTATTAAATGAATATACCCCAGTTTTGTGGTTGATGGACTTTTGGGTTTTTTTCAGTTTTGGCCTATTCACAAACAATGCTACTATCTTGTATATGTACCCAGGTGTATGTATGCATATATATCTATAGTATGTATGTAGGAATGGAATTG